AAGCAAGAGGAGGGAGAGATGCAAACACGCTGAGCAGTAATGACCACCATGGAAAAAATGTCCGCAGAGGCAGGTCCCAGTTTCCTAATGAGTGAGCTAAGCTCACTACAGAGGGAAAAGGTTGCAACTTTCCTGCCACACAGAGCCTCCTTGCATTTTGCTGACCTCTTGTTCAAAAAGCTTGGGTGGTTGCTGATGGTATCACCGTGGTGGTGTCCACCTCGGACGCGTTCCCTGCCCTGCGAGGTGTTGGGAGCTCCCCACAGAGCTGCTCTGTCTGCAGGCTCGCTGGGCAGCTCTGTTCGGTGGTCAGTGTGGTGTTCAGCGTGATATGGGGTTCTCATTCATAAGATTAAGATCTCATCTTAAAATTACTCTCAAAAGTTTGGTTATGCTTGAGGGAAAGAAGAACATTGGGGGAACACACCAGTGTTTCTGCGGTTAATCTGCTCCTACAGAGTATGTATTTTTAGTACTCCTTGCTGTTATACTTACTTTCTTCATTTAAATGTGCCCCTGTGCCAAGCGAGATGCTGTAACCACATTCCGCAATAAATTTCTGGCAGTGGTGACATGTAATATCAAAGTCCTTATTAAAAGTAATGTTTGAGTCGGTATTAATATGAGTCAATTAGCTGTATCGAGCGTTTTTGTATGATAAGATACTTGATAGTGACACATTGTTCTGACAACAGGCTTCATATTTACATTGATAAAAAGATACAAATGCTGTCATACATTTGAAACATAAGTCTCTTATGGCCATTTCCTGTTTTCAGCAAGACCTGGTGATCTTGCAGATAAATGTGTGCAGATAAATACTGCTTGCTGTCTTGGTGTTACTGAACTAATTTGTCCGTCTTAAGAAATTAAGAAGGTATTTTACTGCTTAGAGGGGGAAAAAAAGACATAAAACAAATCCGTGGTTTTGAGCTTTCAGGCGGGTGGTAGTTGCAGCAAGGCTCTTACTACAAAATGGTTTGCTCATCATTTGAGAGAAAAAAATGCTGATCTCCCTCCCTGCCTCCCTCCCTCCCTGTGCTTTGTTCATTAGTACCCCATTCTGAAAAATCTCTATTCAACTAATAATCAGCTGAACTACCCAAAACTTCATCTGTGCTGAAAACATGTTCTCTGTGATGAAGTTTGAAAGGAAATGGCTAAATGAGGTTTAGCAATTTGTTTTTCTGAGCATTTTAATTATCCTACATTCTCTCTTTTTTTCTTTTTTTTTTCTTTTTCTCCTCAGTCCTGTGGAAGAACAAAACAAGGCTAATATTCTCCCTAATAGGTATTTAAACACCAATTTGTTAGCTTTAACATGTTAAGACAGTATGTTTTTGGGGAAATGTGAACTTAAACTTCTCTCTTTTATTTATTTATATATATATATATATATATATATATATATATATACACACACACACACACACAAAAATATCTACATAACAGTTTGATCCAAAAGAATTTTAAAAAGAAGAAAATCCACCACAGTCAAGAAGCCTAATACCTTTTGTTTTCTCCATATAAATATATATACACACACAGACACACACACATACATAAAATTGTCCAGGAAGTTTTGTGTAATATTTGGGTAGGGGTTTCATATAGGGAGTCATCTCAATCCACACTTGAAGTCAGCCTCTGGAAACAGGGTGCTCTGCGGAGTTGTCTTCCCTTTTATCTGTAAAAGGAAGGGGGACTAAGTTTGATTCTTGTCGAAACGGGGGGGGGAGTATTTTTACCTAGCGCTTCTCAGGAGAAGTTTTGTGGTTGATAGGACCATCAGTTTGTGTTGCCTAAGGTGAAAGCCCTGGACTGGTGCCACTAGGAAGGGCTTGGGTGGGGGCAGAGGAAAGGGACTAAGAACATTTGCATGGTCGGTAATTTGAGGCATCGTTTTGGAAATGTTTCTGTTGTACATTGAGGATCAAAGTGCTGGTGCAGAGTAATGTTTCTTCTCGTGTGTATCTCCTTTCAAAAACCAAAAGTGAAACCACATACCAGGATTTTTAACAGAGGTAGTTCTGCTATTATTGCAGTGTCTCCTTTCGATTTTTTTTTTTTTTGGCGGGGGGGGGAATGTGGCGTTGGAGGGGAGTGTTGTCAGGGTTTAATTTGCTTTGGATGAAAGTGGGATAAAATCTGGCCCAAGATTTTCAGGTCTAATTCAGTGTTGTAAGAATAGCAAGTTCAATATTGTGTGTATGGAAGAGTAAATCAGGTGGTACCATTTCTGTAAGAGAAGTTATCAGTTGTACTGGGTGGTAGATTTTTGCCCCCAAGGAGGAGAAAATAAATATCCATAATTCTGTGAGTTCTTCTGTGTGGACAAACCTTTTGCCTGTGTGATGTCCTTCATAACCACAAGGAAATTGTATGGATAGAGGGATGCCTAAAGGGAAAAATGGCTTACATCGGAAGATATGAATGGTCCCTGATTATTCAACAAAAGTGAAATACAGCAATTATTTTTAAGATTTTTTTTTCTTTCTCATTTTGGGAAATAAATTCAATTTCAAATTAAACAGAATTTGTAAATGCAGAGAAAAAACTGTGAATAACCTAACAAAGGATTAACAGTGACCTGGATAAGGAAGATTAAAATTACTTTTCTTTTAGTGTTTTCTGACAGAAAAACATGTGTCTGCTGATCCTTGTTTGTGTTTGCAACACAAAATGTCTTCCTCAGAGGCTATTCTAATCTAGTTTTGCCTTGGAAATAAAAATAAATCCTAAGCTTTCTTTTCCTTTTGTGCTAAGTAATTTTGAATGCTTATCTAATCCTAGTGAAGAAGTAGTGCAGGGTAATACAGCACATATTAACAGACAGTGATGCAGCAGATAAAACAAGTATGGCATTATTTGACCATTTTTGAAAGTGTGATAATTTCTAAAAACCCATTGAAAGAAATTTAGCCCATTGTTGGTGAGTTTAATTCCAAGCTTCTCAAGCTGATAACAATGGGTAATACATGTCTGTACATGTGCTCACATAAAATAGTATGGAAATATGTGATTTAATATTGCAAAGGACGCTAATTCAAGCTTCATAGAGTACCTAAATTAGGAAAACCCAAACTCAGTTTGTCTAGATTTTTATGATGATTTACAGTGTTCTTTAGTCTTTTCCATTTTCTGAATATCCTCATAGTTGGAAGGTCTTTTTAAGATTCAGTCTATTCAGTCTATTCAGTCTATTACAAACAGGTAAGCAGCAAGCAGCCCCATTTCCAGTGGGCACTGGGAATCCTCCATCTTAGCATCTTTTAACCAGTTCTAATTTCTAATTACACCTTGGAGGTAAGAGACAAGGGTATCAATTCTTTACTTCTCTCTTTCTTTCATGCTTTCTTACAAGAAAAACTGATACCTTTAGCCCTGTGGTGATATTTAGGTCATCTATTTGTCATCTAGGTTCTTCCTCTTAAAGATGAAACTTTAAGAAAGATGTAAGGAAAAAGCTATGCCCCAATCTCAATTAGAAGTCTGTCTAGTCCATAGGTAGAGCAGATTTGTTGTTGTTGCTCTTCACACCGCTATTTTGCGGCACGTTTCACAAGGAGCTTTTCTGCTTTCGCAACAGTCCCACGTTGTTGACAGTCTAGAACAGAGCTGCTGTAGCCTCCCAGATTCTTTTCATGCCTGTTTTTCTGCACTTATGTCCTCTCCAAGTGTATTTCTTTCTGTTTTATTGAATTTCATTGGTTTTTTTTTTTTTTTTTTGGGGGGGGGGAGGGAGGCAGTGGGAGAAGGAGAATGAGGCAGGGACCTTTTTCAAATTATTGAGATGAGAATTGAAAATTATCTTGACTTTCTGGATTCATTCCTCATCCTTGGTTGCTTTCATCTGCCGCTGTCATAAGTATTCTCTGTGCAAGATATCAAGGTGCTAATGGAATTACTGTTATTCTGGGAAAGTAGGAATAAAGCAGACTAGTTTACATGTTTCACATTATCTGTAAGAACATTTATTATAGTCATATTTGGAAAAAAAATACCCACAGAGAGCAGGTAAAACTTTAAACCACAGCAAGTAGGGCACAGTTGGTGTGCAGGTGGAATGTGTTTTTCTTAATGTGCTCCACGACACTGACCTTTGGGCAAGAACGTTAAGCAAGGCTATTGAGGAGTTGACTGAATTGAGTGGAATTCAGCTCAGGACAGAAATCTGGACTTCGCTTGGTGTTATCTCAGTATGGCAGCATTAATAATACTGGAATATTTTTAAACCAGTTATTTTATTTCCCTCAAAGGAATTTCTTCACGTCCTGATTCTAGGAAGAAGCTGGCGTGCTTGATGGCCATCATAGCTAATACATGAGCACAAAAAGAGGCTGATTGTAATGTGTTCAAAAATATATATCCTATTATAATATGGAAAGAAGATTTGCTTGCAGCATCGCAAGCTCATAGTTCTTCTAAATGAAGTTACAATAGCAGCTCCCTATGTGAAGTACTTGGCAGAGTTTCCTGAAAAGATACAGGTTACTTCTTTTAAAGCAACGATCACTGCTCTCGTGATTATAGCTGCGTAGTTGCAGTGTATTGTAGAAGAGGCATGGCAACTATATGAAGGTATACACCCAGTTTGTCAGACTCGTGTTAAATCTGTCATCCCTTTTACCACACAGTTTAATCAGCAAATGGAGCAGCAAACTAAAATTCCTCAAAGACTAGAACTGAGTGGTAAGGAAAGAAGGGTGGGGGTATCATACTGCTCTCCCCTGTTCTGTTGTAAGTGGTTGTTTTTCTTCTCCTTTAGTTATGTTGCCCTATGTGTAGCGTTTCGGGCTGCTAGGGAGGCTGCTGCTTGCAAAGGAACTGGAAATCATAACATCTGGAAGTCGCCGCTGCCTTGAGACAAAATACAATTCACAAGGACGGGTGGAGCGGAGAAAAGCAACCAGTAACCTCAACTCCCAACTGTCTTTCCACACATCCCCTCCCTAGTGCTCTGTAGCCAGGATAAATAACTCGCTTCTGCAAGGATCAAGTTGAAATAGTGCAACTCCACGCAGTAAGTGTACAGCATACTGAAATTCAGAAAGAGTTTAGTGTGTGTCTTGTCTTCTCTGGTGCACTGAACTGCCTGCCTTTTCCTTCCTACTCTTGAGAGGTCAGCCAACATAGGTACTGATCCATACTGAAAGAGCAATTCCCAAATTCACTCACAGCACAACCAATTTCATGCCTGCTCTATTTTTGTCACTTTTGTCAGCATGTTCAGACAGTTCAGAGAACTTTTTTCAAACAGTTTAACTAGCAAAGCATTTCCCCTGTCTCTGTTTGCTTCTATTCAGAAGTTAGCAACTTTTCACATGTGAATATCATTGTCCTATTGAATCACCAGGGTTGTGTCTCTGATCCTTATTCAAGGCAAACATCACCTAGTCTTTAAGAGAAAACCTACTGGCACAGGGTGGTTGGGTCCTACCTGTGTCTGAGCTCTTGAGAGCGTTCAGGATGTGGATGTGGCTTACCGTGGATCATTGCTCTTGAACTATTTTGCCTCTGGTTTTTCTTCTTTTTAAATGCTGGTTCTTCTAAATTTGTCAATGACAGTCAGAAATCTCTTTAACTGTCGTTGAGTGAAGAAGTATCTGCGCTTTCCTGCTGGGTGATCTCAGGAAAAGAGCATGTTCCTGCTGCCTCCTGAAAAATTGCACAAGGTTCCTCCTGACAAATTAGGAATATAAGAACTTCAATGGAATACATGTAATCCACAGTTGCATTGCGAGAATAGATGGGGAATAGCATCTCAAAGTGCTGAGTTTAGATTCTTTTTTTCTGTCTGGGCCTTTGATATCTCATGCCAGGGAGATACCATGTGCAAAGGATTTTTTGGTTTCTCCTCCTGCTTCCCAGTTTTATACCCAACCAATATGCAAAGTCTCACAGTAAGAAGACAGTCTGAAGGGGAGAATGAGTATGTTTCATAATCATACTGCATGGGGCTTCCCAAAATCTAGCTTTTGGACTTTGTGACTTGTGGATCTCAACCACTTCTGTCAGGCGGTTCCTGTTGCTCTCCCCGTCCCTGCTTTTCCTGGGGTTCTGCTGTGCTCACCCTCCTCCCATCTCCTGGATCAGCTAAAAAGCCATAAACATGTTATGCTGCCTGACAAAAATAAATCATGCTATTACAGTAATAAAAAGGTTACTTATATTATTGGACATGCCTCTGTTGTGAAGTCATCTGGGCTGTAATTCTGCTATCCTTGCTTGACATAACATCCCACCAAAGAGGAGGATTTTTTTCCCTAAAGCAATTGATTAAATGCTGTTGCTAGTATTTTTGTGCATCTGAGTCTGAGAACTTGGTTGTGGTAGTGCTTTCTTTTCCCCTTCTTTTTAATCATCCTAAAGCATAAAATTGAACTTTGATGAAACGGATTGAACTTTCAAAATCCATTTCTACACCCCTTTGGGATTATAAGGGTACCACATTATATCCTTAGTGTCAGAACTATGAGCATTAATACGGGCTTTTTCAGTGTCGTATTTTATTCTTGTTCTGCATTAGATTTAAAAAAAAAAATTAAAAATGACTTAAGATGACACTTTATTGTTAAAGATCTTGGTGCTCATGAACTGAATCCGCTGGCAGTTTGAAAATTCTATGAATCCTGCACCTGTGCTTTAGTATTTCTGTATCTATTCTTTAGATCAAATGCCGTAATTCTCCTGTGTAATGAAATTCAGTATATGCTCATTTAAAAAAAAAACTCTGCATTTTTAAAATTTCTTTCAAGTTGAGGCATAGTTTATATATATATATATATATATATAAAATATATTTTTTCTAAATCCAAGAAACATTTCAGATTTTAAACAGAGAGCTGGTCTGTAGAGTTTATTTTCCTGTGTCGAGTGTGTTAGATGTTTTTGTTTATAGTCAAATAAACTGAGAGGACTATTTTTTTCCAGAGCTGCTAAAACAAACCAGTGGTTGTTCCAGCTCCAGAATGTGTTTATTTTAATGTAGACGTATTTCCATGGGATGGGGGAAGGGAGGCCATAGAGATGGGAGTGTGGAGCAGGCACTTACATAAATTCTGTTCACCAACTTTTCTTAAAAATGAGCTTGCCATATCAACTACTTATTGTTTCTGATATTCTCTGAAATCAAAATGGATATCCCTGCAGAAATGAAAGCAGCATTTCAGATTCTGCTTGTGCAGGCCTTAAGTAGTAACATATTATATATAATATTTAAAATACCCTGACAGATATTTTTGTCTACCAAGTAAAGTTTCAGGGCGGTTTCTAAAGATAATATTTGATTGTTTTTCACAGTTATGGCATAGGATGATATTATGTTAGGGATGCTGTAACTTTTAGGATAAGTGGATGTGGGACAGCTACTTGAGTTCTTGAGCTGAAGACTCAGCTCTCAAGACTATGGTAACTTCTTATGTGTTTTCAGATTTAACTGTAGTGTAGATGATCCAACCAGATCACTGAATGCCAAGGTGCGTGTGTGTGTGTTTGTTTTCCTGCATGTTAGGTATAAGTACTTGTTGGTCTGAATAGTAAAATGAAAATTCAGAAATGCGTTTTTCTATTCATTTGTTTTTAACCCAGAAGGGAAGTAGTGCTTAGAGGCTGTTTTATTTGTCCGAACGGCACAGAGCTCCTTTGCCCTGTGCCTCTCGGATGAGGAGCAGGGGGAGGCTCAGCACAGGACCCTGTCCCTGTCCATCCTGGCAGGCTGGGGCAAGGACCCGGTGGCAGCTCTGGGACGAGGGCTCAGTGCAGGTGGTGGCACCTTCTGGCCTCGCTGTTGCTTCTCTCACCATTGACTGTAGCATGAATCTCCTGGATACTGCCTGGAGTGAGGAGTGCATTATTAATGTACCACGCTGGGAATCTCTCTTTCGTCCCCAGTGTAGTTTGGTATGTGGTGTTGCCAATTTCAGCCTGCATTAAAAAAGTGTTAGGAGTTTGAAGGACTGCAGCAAGAACTGTTTACTTGTACCACACAAAAATCGAAGACTGCTTGGATACAACAGTGCTAAATATATGAGATTCACAGGTCAAAGTAGTAAATTTGATTTTTTTTTTCTTTTTCTTGAGATGGTCTTTTTCATAGAGTAACAAATGAAAACAGTGTGTCAGAAATCTACCTTGATTCTTTCTCCTTTTACTGTGAGATTTAAGAAATCAAGATAGTCAAGTGCTCAGGAAAATCATTCTTAATGCTATGGCTGGAGAAAACATGATGATTTTGTGTTAACAACAGTAATGGTCATGTTTGACTCTAATTTCAATGATTTGCTTTCTTTTTCCTAGGTGGATTTTTTGATGTTGTAGGATCATTACCTGGCTGAAGACTAAACATGAGAATAGCCGGTAAGTGGAGTTAGTGAAATTGGACTTTTGTACCTTGTGAAAGAAGCTGCAGGCTGCATTAATGAGAAAGAATATTTTAAAACTTAGTGTTATGCACAACAGTTTTGTTATGGCATCGCTGTCCCATTTTGCAGAGCTTAAAGGAAGCACATTTGGAATGGTCTTGGAGCAAGCAGCCACTTCCAGCCCTACAGTGATCTTCAGGGGATAGCTGAGGTGCCAGGGCCTGATCTACTTTGGCTGCTAATTCTATGAAATGATGAAGGAATAATAAAAGAGATGGTTGCTATGTCTTAAGCAATTTATTTCCCCACCTCACACCCCAGCCAGAAGTGTCACGCATGATTATAGTACAGCATTTGAAACTTCTGGAGTAACTATTGGGAAGTAGAATGGTGTAAAAAGCTTGTCATAGAAATATGTTACTTCAAGTAAAATCAGTTTCTCAAACTCTGAAGATGTAAGTTAGTAGCAATTGCAATATTACAAAGTATTTTTTTTACTTAATTACAAAGATCTCTTTGCCAAAGCAATATTGCAAATACTTTGCAATATTGTACTGTTGCAAGTATTACAAGTACAGGGACAATATTGCAAAGTATTTGCAATATTACTTTAAGAGATCTTTTAAGAAAATACTATTTTGAATGTTTCTTTACAGTAGAATAGCCTGTTGCATTTGTATGTTAGCTGAACAGTTTTGACAGAAGACTTGCATTTTCATTGAGAAGTTTTATGGTTATACTGCATAACCCTAGAAGAGGGTGATGCTTTCTTTCCGAAAGAGTTAAGCGTTAACCTTTTTAGCAATCCTGGATCCTGTGACTGCTTCTAAAATTATCATTCAGAGTAGCTACAGAAAGCTCAAGAGTGGATATGCAGTTTTATTAATTGCATTAGGTGTAATTGAGAGCCACTTATTAGAGGGAAAACAAAGCCAGTAGAGATCTGGAGAAATACAGGAATTTTTAGAAGATGGTCAGGTCACCTAGAAGATGCCTTTCCTGAGTCTTCCTTCTCTGCCAGCTAATTTCCAATTTTGTTGCTAGAACCTACACATGAAAAATAAGGCAGTTCACAAAGAATGTGTGACCTGTAGCAAACAGGTTTGTTTCAATAATTACAAGTACTTTCCAGGAGAATATTTCTGTCTCATTTAGTGGAAGCCCTGTTCAATTCCATTAAAAGGCTGAGAATATTAAGTGGAAGAGGTGGTTAGTGCTCGTGCTGAATTCTTGTTCATCCCTTCCACCATGTACCTAAACAGCAGGCTCTCCAAGTGCCATGTGCTGTAAGGCACACTCCAAGCTGTGCTGCCATCCTGTCTTTTTACTAATGTTACTTTTGCAGACCTTTGTCACATCTCTTTAATGTAAGTACAGGTTATTTGTTTTCTTTAGCACATACCTGTGGTTCACTTTCCACAAATGCAGTTGCCTTTGAGAGTCCCGGCCTAATGTCCTAATGTTAAGTTTGTTTCTGTGTGTTTTTTTTTTTTTTTCCTTTTTTTATGTGATGTCTCTGGGCTCACACGTGTGTGTCTCTTTCCTCATCTATCTTTTCTTTTTCTATCTGCTTATCTTCCCCTCCTGCCTCCCCTGCCCTGCTTTGGAAGGCTTGATTAACATCTCATCTTTCTGAAAGCTGAGTAATTTGTCTATTTTAAGGTTTTCTAAACAGCCCTCACAGACCAGTCTGAGATATTCAGGAGTACATAAGATCTTCTCTGAATAATTTATTTGTCTGGCAGTTGGAGAAATACAAGTGTTGTGCAAGGTCACTTCTCCCAGAGCTCTTTAACACACTGGCATATTGATCCCCTAAATGTGACTTCTAATGCCTGACACTGTAACTTTCAATAAACGGAGTGCAGGGTGTTCTGTACAATCTATTGAAAATAATGTTAGAAAATGGCAGATATGTAATTGGAACAGCCGGCTTCATGGTAACACCAAGTACAAGTGAGTTTCTGTTTCAGATATAAATCCCTGTCAGTGCGTCCAGCTCTTCCCCTGCCCTGTGGCTTGACCCCCTTGACACTGCAAGAAAATTAGGCTTGTAAAGCTTCAGGCCACCTGAGACCTCAGCATATTGAAAGAGGGAGGGGAAAACTATTTCTCTTCAAAGAAGAGATAATTTTTTAAAAAATAGTCTACTAACTTGTTTTTTGCAAGTCAATAAATTAAAAAAGAAGCCTATCTGCTTCATTTTAAGTAAATTTTAGTGTAATTGTTGGGCTTAACTAGCTAAAGCAGTTAAGTTATAAACAGACCCATAAATTGCTTGGCCTGGGTCATGCATTAAAATAGAGGTATCTCAGTCTGAAGACAAAAAGAAAGGGAGTATTTATGAACAGCAAGCAACAGGGACATATGCCTAAAAACTGGTAAGTAGGATGGGGGACGTGGGACTTCCTGCTTTGGAGAGCAGCCAGATGTTAAATCAGCTTAGTGCATCTAGTTCAGCTGCATTTCCATGGAACAGTCAGTGCTCTGCAGGTTGCTGTGGGGTCAGACAGGCACAAACCTTGGAGAAAGAACCAAGGTGAGATTTCATGTCTGGGTTTCAGGTAGCAACCTGATAGACTCAGTTGCAGCCTACATTACAGTGTTGTTCTCTTGTGAATTGTTTTTGTTTGGCAAGCCCTAGTGTGTTTATGAAAGCAGTTCTCCTTAATGTAACCAGATAGAGATTTAATTTTGGTAAGTTTTAATGCTATCATTTACAGATTTTTTTTTTGAAACTTTTTTTCTGCTTCTGAATAGGTGCTGCAAAGTTGGTAGTAGTCATAGCAATATTTTTATTGACATTCTATGTCATATCTCAAGTTTTTGAAATAAAAATGGATGCAAACTTAGGACACATATTTGGTAAGTGATGACTTTGTTTTTCTACATATCTGCTATTTAATTATTTCAGCCATAAGGATTATTTCTGCAAGCTCGACTTGCTCTTGCACCTCCAAAGAATTTTGTTTTTATTTTTAATGTGTGTACTTACTGTTATTTTATATATGAAATATTTAAGAGTCTTATCTTGCAAGTGTACATAATTTTACCTGGTTTTCTGTTTACAGTTACCATCTTAACTGAGAGTTGGAAACTATGTAACTACATAAAACATTTCAGATGTGCTTAGTTCTTTTAAAAGGAGGCAGGGTGGTGGTTACCAGTGTAAATCACTTAAAACTCGGTGTAGTTTTTGAAGAGAGTATGTCTGCAAAAGGAGTTCTCTTTAAGAAACCCCATTTTAAACACATCGGTGGGATTCATATTACTTAGCTCCAGACTCTGGTGTGAGCATCCGCATCTCCATAAAAAAAACCTTGTAGTCTGTGCCTCTTTTCCTTGGTTGGGTAAAATCAAGTTCTAAGGATGGGATTTACCCCGTTCCAATATCCACAGCTCCACAGGTCCCCTGTTGTCCCTTATATTTCCCTCTTGTGCTTCTCATCATTGGAGAGCAGTAAATTAAGATAGTCTCTCAACATATCTACTCCCTGGTCACTTTCATTTTTAACCTTGTATTTTAACCTTGTATTTTATGTTGGAACATAATGTTTTTATCTATATATTTCGTGTTTTAATCTATTTCTATAGATGTACAAAAAGGCTTAAAATGTATAGGCTGTTTTATAGTAAATGACATTTTAAAGTGAGAATCTTATAAATCTTTTTTTTTTTTTTTTTGTATTTTAGCTAGATCAGCATTGGATGCAGCTGCACGTGGTGAGTATTTGTATGCGTGTGTTACTACTGTGACCTGCTTTCACTAAAGACAGAAAAAATGTTGGATTTTCATAGTTAGGAAAGTCTTAATTACACTTCAACTATAATCAGAAACTGTTTCTTTTCCTAACTTTCCTATGTCTCTGTCAAAGTCCTTCTGTTTTTTCCAACATTTTGACATTTTTGCACAGCTTATTTGTGGCTTTTGATGGCCATTGTACATGGCCAAAGGGATGAGAACCGGGGAGCAGGGTGAAGAAGCACTGCAGTAACTTAGATTAGTTAAAGCTGCTTTGAAACTGCACCATGAAGTATGGCTTGCCTCTACACTTCTTGAAATCTTCTGGAAAATTAACTCTTTAACTATTTAAGCTTTAGCTCACTTGTCTTTAAAGTTCTGTTATTTTCTTTTGACAGCTACAAAACCCCCAAGGTACAAATGTGGCATTTCTAAAGCTTGTCCTGAAAAGCACTTTGCATTCAAAATGGCAAGTGGAGCTGCAAACGTAGTTGGGCCTAAAATTTGTGTAGAAGATAATGTGTAAGTATTTTAACCTGTAGTTTGTACATATCTCTTTAAAAATGCTATCTTGGATCATGTTGTATGCAAAGGCAGTAATTCAAATGTTTATGGGTTGCAAGTTCACTTTGCCTACAAAAAGACCACATGAGCAAATTATCACAGATCGAGTTGTAATACAAAGCACATGCAGTATTCTGTAGTAATTGCAGAGTGTTATAAGAAATGCAAGATAGCTTACATCTCAGGTTTACAGCCTCACAGAATAGTCAGACCTTGTACAGTCAGATTTAGACTTAGCTCCAAGTACCTTTTGCACGTGCCTCTGATTGTAATTCAGTGAGTAATTGAATAGCTCCCACTACTTCTATTTGAATGTCATCAGCTAGAGATGTGGTGAGGAACTCTCTTTTGCAAGTCATCTTTTAAGCCATTTACTTCCATAGAAGTAATGACAAAACATTTTCCACCTTAGAAGGATTACTTCAAAAGGAAAAGTAATACTTAATTGATTAGTAGTCACTTAATTGTGCTGCTGATAAATATAGTTGCTAAATTTAAATTATCTGTGAAATGAAAATCACTTTTTGAGACACTTTCTTAATGCATACATAAAGGCACTGTTTTTTAAAGCACTTATCAATGCCTTTATTTAATCAGCTTCTGTTATTTCTAGTTAAAATATTTTACTGCAATATTATCAGTAATACTATGTCTAGAGCATTTAATGCATATTTTTAATATTCCCATTATATGGATCACTGTTTATTTTTAAACTTGAGTTGTTACTACTCCCGAGTTGTCACATCAGAGTGCATGAGTTTGCCTAATACAATGTATCCACTCAATTCTGGATGTCACAAGGCAGAGAAGACATGACATGTTGTGAGAAATACTATTTTTTCCCCAAGTGTCATCCTTGCCTTTCATTCAACACACTAGTTGAAGTGCATCTCAGGTGTGCTGCTAGTGCAGTGTGGTTCAGATAGCAGCTACAGCACTCAGTGCTAATTTACTCTAGAGTATCTGGCAACTTTTCAGTGAAATTCTTCACCCTGTGTAAACCAATAGATAGAATAATTGTTCAATTGGATTAGGCTTTTCATCACTGTACAGCATAATTGAAGTGACATCATAGGGGCAAAGATAAGGCTGCTTTTAGTATTAGCTCTAGCAGTTTGCAGTAGTATGAAAATGAGTGATTTTTCTGGCAGCTATTCGTGCACAGTGTCTCCTTTCTGCTTTGCTAGCTGAAGCGTCAGCACCACGGAAGTTCTGAGGTCCTTACTGCAGGCCACCTTAGCTCGAGCTTTCCTGCAGGACCATGTTTGCGTAGGACCCCGTTTGCAATGGGACTTCGCAGTTTGTGAGGGAGCACCTGCACATCCAGAATAGGCTCTGTGCCCTAAGGCTGCCATTAAAAGCTGCGAGCTTGTTTCCATTCGTGACACCTTATGACCCTGGACAGTCTTATCTAATCTCTCTGCGTGTTATTTTTATGGGTGTTGCAGAACTTGCCAGTTTCTCATCCTGGTTGCAAGGAGGCTTCCTGCCTGTGAAGGCATAGGGCAATTCAGCTGATTAAAAGTTAAAGGGGGAAAGTAATATTTTAACTTCAGGCTTATGATTTTATTAATGCCTTATGGGTCAGCTATAATGAAGGAATGGTTCATGTCAAAAAAAACACCACCACCCTCCTCTACTATTTTACTGAAGAAAGTGATGAAAAGAAATTGATTGCTGAAATGTTCTTTGAATATTAGTGTACAGCTAAAGGAATCATAAGATCACAGTTTCCTATAGTAAAAATCTCAGCTAATCTCCTCCCTCTAAGGAGGAGCCATAAATGCTCGCTTAAATGTGCTCCAGAACATCTCCTGCTTCGTTCATAATGCATTTGATTGACGTTTTAGCTGTCAACGTCATTTGTTGGTTGTCAGTTTTTGGAAGCGTTTTCGAAGCAGTGAAGTGCTGCCCCCCTGCGGGCAGCTCGCAGCGTGACAGCCGGCCTCACAGCAAGGGGGATCCGGAGCGTGTGAAGTAACGGCTCTTGACCCCAAAATAATGTATTTCGCGGGTGGGAGCTCTCTATTGTTCAAATGAACTGCAGGCCAGACTTTCCTGGCCTGATTTATGCAGAGAAGTACAATCGGGGTGACTTTTGTCACTGTTTAGTCAAAAGTGGTATTATTAAACGCTAATCGAAAAGTGCTGAGCTACTTTGGTCCCTGAATTTATATGTATATGTGGATTATCAGAGGGGAACAAAAGTGAAATTTGTTTATTTTCTACTTGTGTTACTTTGGTGTGACTAGCCAGAGTAGACTCTGTGTGTGTGTGTGTGTGTATAACCAGAGAAGACTCTATGTGTGTGTGTGTGTGTGTGTGTGTGTATGTATATATCTTTCCTCTTCTGTCTCTCGTGTGTGTGTGCATGCACACCTTATAAAATGCAATGGCCTGCAGTTAAGAAAAGCATCTGTAATGTTTGAAGTGAAGTGGACATCTAAAATTTTAAAATGTGTGAAAGTTTTGTGTGTCTGAGAGAGGTTAATATGAGTGCCTGCATTCAAAGTATTAACTTGACTGACAGTTGGTTTAATGGAGTGCTGCATAAATATTCTCAAATATAGATAATGAAAACATCTGTCTTTCTAAGGGTAGTTTGCTCAGATTTCTGTGAAGAGGTAAATTCCAGTATCTTGCATTTTCCACTGTGCTTAGACGGTCTCAGCACATTCGGGCCCATGAGCTGGTCAGTGCTGCCAGAACCAGGAGTCTCCCTAGTCCGATGCCCTTGGCAGTTTCCTCACCAAGCTTAGAATAGAGCGAGCGCTCCGTAGAGCTTACTGCAAGTAGGCCCAGAAGTTAATACTTTACTCCATTATTCCAGGAAGAGTTAAAAAATATCATCCCGCTTATTCCTGAAAGAGTTAAAAATGAGAAGTTCCTTATTTTGCTAATATTGTTATGAGTAATTCCAAGTTATTTTTCTAGTTGTCTGCTGTGCATTCGTGAACCATACAGGAATAGTACATGAAGTAGAAGTACTGATTAAATAAGATACTGTTATCAGTTTTTTTGCGTCTCATTTGATCAGTGAAGGTCAAATAATGACGAATAGCCCAGGTTTATAAAAGAGAACGTGCTTGGCTGTGTTCCTTTCCATTTAAATAGCAAATATTACCCAAATTATTTAGAAGTACCCAATTACTTCTAAAATGACTCTCTACTCTGGAAGTTGAAATCTTGCATTGTTGAAAAATTGAAGACTGCTTATGTGTCAGCTTTTACAAGGTCATTTCTATAAGCTGTTACTCTATATTTTGAGGCTTTATGACAAGTAGGAACTGAGGACTACAGGGGATTATTGTTACCAGTCTTTTTTTTATGGTAGTGCTGTCAGAAAGCTCCTTGAGAAGCATAAGGAAATGCAGAATTCCAGCTGGCCAGCAGGTATTTTTCCCAGTCCTCTTGCACCATGGGTGGCTGGAAGGTTCTCTTGGAGTCGGGCAGCTCTTGCGTTATCAGGTTTTGAAGTTTATTTGTGAGCTTTGTGCATTTTGTTGTTCTGCCCACTAGCAACATCTGATCTAGGTGGTTCTTTAGCCTTTCCTGTGTTTACTTCTCGTGTGTTGGTTGTCGGCATTAAATTCCTATGACTGCTGTGAAGTACCAGATAAATTAATGCATATCTGTCTGTACCCATCTGAGTAGGGCTATCCAAGTCTTCTCCATGCTTCTTATTTTGTTAGCCATCTGGTAGGTCATCCATTTGAATATTTCTATTTTAGCTAGAATTGTACACCATAGTGCTTGTACCCCAATTACTGGATGCTAGTGTCACAAAGCGCTTGCTATTTTTCTTGGGAATAATTGATCCGATGCATCATAGCACCACACTTGTCTGTTCCGTGACCATTCTGCATTAATAATTTGTGTCCATCTAGAAAATAGCAGTCCTTTGGTTTTCCAGTGTCCATCCAGAATACAGTAGACTTTTGGCTCTTTGGTCATTGTGATCAATGAAGGTATAAGCTTTGGCCAAGTTTGTGAAAGTGCTTTTTTAATTTAATTTTGTTTAACTTTATTGTTCTTTATTTTCTTTCTTTATTTTTTTTAAGTGCATGTTCCTCTTATCTACATCAGAGACAGTATTTCATGCTGTTTCTTTTGCTCTTTGTCAATTCCAGTTATTTTCTGTGGTAATTTAGCCTTCCTCTGCACAATATTTCTCTTTTTATATAATTTAACCAACACACTGCATTGTCATTCAGATCCCTGATGATGATGCTGTAAAGCACCCACAATCTGATTCTTGAAAAGCTCCATTAACAATATCTCTCCATATTCATAATTTTCTTTTTAAAACTGCCTATTTGTACTGCTCTAGCCTCATGCTCATGTTCTTTCATGGCTTCAAATGTTCTGTGTTTTGGGGTTTTGTGTGTGTGTGTGTGTTTTGGGAGGGAAGGGGATCTTTTTATAATACTGTTTCATAGTCTTGCCTCTAGCACAGGGCACCTTCCTGATGATGTCAGGGCTGTTGAATTTTGTGTTCTCTGTCATCACCAGACAAGGAAGCAGAAATAAATTCTTATAATTTGTCACTAAGACTTTTAGCCTAAGATGTAGTAAACATAACACTCCTCTAACCCAAGTATCATCCTTAATAGTGATGATAGAATCAAGAAATTAGATATCTTCTCGTTTTTGTTGGTGGTGGTGTTAGGTGTTGTTAGGTGTCTTGTACAATGGTTTAATTATAACTTTGTTTTTCTGTCTTGAAAGGGCATAATCAAAAAAAAAGCAATCATCTTCAAAATACTAAAAATTACTGGCACTACTTGATGGATTTAGAAGAAGGGGTAATAGAATATTGTCATACATACAAGTAGTTTTTCACTGCAGTTCTTGCATAGAATATTGTCATACTTCTTTACAAGTAGTTTTTCACTGCAGTTCTTGTTTTATTGCCATTGCAAGGTTTATGTTGCAGTAACCTTATGGCAAAATCTTACCTCACTTTCCTTAATAACTAATGCTCTTTTGTATAGGTATTACACTTATTTTTTATTGGTTTTAATCAGGTTTTAATCAGACACTAGAGCTCCTATTAAAGGGCAGCAGAGCTTATTATTAAAAAGTAAAATGCATAGTTTTGCTCTGGCTTGTGTAAATACTTCTGACAATAATGAAGCATTAGAAGTTTTTAGTATCGAAAAGATTAGGATTTGATCTTAATGAAGAAATCTGAAATACCTCCAGGATAGAATTCTAACTGTGTATCTGTGTGTATTTGCAGGACTGCATTCTATTCTGACTAGCATTTATTTACAGAGAAATTTATAGTTAAAAAGAAGGGAAGATCTTCTTGTTATATGTCCACTGAATTTTATGAGAGCCAAGGAATGCACTTAGAACTTCACAGCTATTTTTTCATTTATGTGTTCAGTCTTTATTTGCCCTGTGTTTCTGTTGCATTAATGGAAAAATGTGGAGCTCTTTCAGTGACTAAAATACTTCTGGAAGTCCCTGTTAACCAGAACTAAATTTTGCCAGTTAGCAGAAAATTGCCAATGTTCTGTTACAGGAATTATTGAGTCGGAGTTTTATTTGTTCTCAGAATTTCTGGTGTAGGCATGACTTGAAAGGCTAACAGAAGAATATACAATCTTTCATCTCTGCTATTTATTTGAAACCTAAGTTACTGTACCAAAAATGCCATCAACTGGTAGTCTTTCATGCTCTTGCTATGCTAGTACAAGCTAGTAATGATTTAGCTCCTGAAATAGTGTTTATTGTACTTCCAAGTCACGTAAATTTTGGTTTATATCCTCATCCTAGGTGTAAAAGATAGTGTCAGAGGGAGGAAGATTTTGTCTCACTTCCATGTTAGACTGCTGCTTGTTTCTAGCCCATCGCTAATGAGTTTCCACTGGAAAGCTGGTGCTGCATTCCTTGGAAATCATAGCTCCTGAAGAAAGAATGATCCGACTGGATCTGAAAACCACGTGATCCCTGCACAAACGAGCTGTACAAAACTCTAAATGCACCCGTGTCCCCATCTGCAGCTTCTCCCTGGCAGGAGCTAGGGAGGCTCTGGTGGCACTGGTCAGAGTTGGATGCTGGCTCAGGCACTTGCTACAGGGTGTTTGGCAGTTGGTGAGACTTGCATCTCCAAGCTGACGTGCTTTCTTGAATCCGAGCTGCATTTCTCAGTTATCTTCATAGTTTTGAACCCGACTCCTGTTTCTCCATGCTGATGTCAACCCTTTAATTCCTAGTTTCAAGGCATTAATGGGAGGGGTGTTTCAGGCCAGTGTCAGGGAGGCAGAACAGAGATTTTTCATATAGTACAGGGCCAAAAAAAAAGCAATGTGGGGATTTTCAAGCTGCTTCTCAGCAGAGTGGTCCAGGTCGGTGTAGGGAGCCCTGCACCCAAACTAACAAACCTGGCCTTCCCATTGGAGCTTTCCCAGTCTGTCTGGTCAAGTGATTGCTGTTCTAGATTACAGCAGTCTTGCTGGGTGTGTAACTGTGCTGCAGGATTACCTGCAACTTTGATTTAGATCCCATCAGTGTATTAACTATTTCCCTTAAATTTAGATTTCTTGGGATTGGTGAAAAGTAGCTGTCTGCTTTGGTTTTCTTGTGGATTAGCATAATGTTGCAGTATTCACTTTAAATATGGTGTTTATGTTAACTTCTAAAGTTGCTAATGTGTTTTAGTTCTTCCTGTGCTTATGGAAAAAGATTAAATCTTGGTTATATAATGGAATAGGCCCCTTCAAAAATACTATGTGTGCCCCAGTCTCCTTAACAGAGAAGAATTTTTATAAATACATAAATAACACTTTTTATTGGCATTTTTCATATGTGCATCATAAATACATTAATAACACTTTATTTTTATTGGCATTTTTCATATGTGCATACTTTGAAATAAAGCATGTTAATAGTAAGTTGTAAAAGTTTTATGGAGCTGAAATGTCGATTGAAAATATTAAAATTTCTTAATTCTACCTGATTTCTATTATTAACAAAAAACTTCTTAACTTATGAAAACATAAAATGATAAACATTCAAAATGTATAAAAAAAATGAGAGTCTACTTAAGCCTGTGTTATGAAAAAGATAATTAAATGGTCAAATGAAATGGGTACACCTGGGGATACTTGATCTACTGCTCTCAATTTAGTGGTCCCATGAGGGCACCTAGCTTTGCTCTAGGAGCTTTGCTTTTATTTAAGTAATCATGTTCATATGCTTTCAGATATCCATGTCTTACAATTTGATGTAATTTGATATAATCAAAATATAAAATGAAATGTTTCATGTCAGAAGATTGTCCTTTTAAAATTTGTGTGTTTGTTTTGTTACAGTTTAATGAGCGGAGTTAAAAACAATGTTGGCAGAGGAATAAATGTGGCTTTGGTCAATGGTAGGTGATATATAAAATGAGCAGTGTGTCTTCATTTTCAAATCATTTCTGATACTCTTTTTAAGCCGTGCAAGGTATCATGATAGGTAGGCAGAAAAGGAGATACTCGGCACACGTTTCCTGAGACTGGTAGCAGATCTTAGTGCTTATACCTTTTTTTTTTTTTTAGCATGGAATTGGAAAGTGGAAAAACTTGGTGTTTTTTTCCTTCTTTTTCCGAAAATGTGTGGTAAAATGATAATGTAGAGAGTTGTGATGACTTTTTCAGTGATACATCAGATATTTTTAAGTAACCAGAAAATAATCGGAAATGCGTGCTGCTGCTTTTGACGTTGTAGATTGCCACCACTGAGAAAAAAGGTATAAAGTAATTTCTTCTCTTACCCCATTTCCAGTGAAATTTAATTAAAAACGCTACATGGATAGTCTTCCATGAATAGTCTAGCATGTTATTTCCTAGCTGGAGATTATTTTCTTCTGTTAGTTCATATCTACTGTGCTAGACCCTAAAGTCTCTGGTTATGTAATTATGCTCACAATTCTGAACTTTCATTAAAAATAAACAAATTTACCAGTATGTCAACTTGAGAGTGGAAGTGTAGTGTCTGTAGAGGCAATTTTGTCCTTAGTGTACACACTAAGTGCTCTGTAGCATTGAGGTTGTCACTTCACTGAAATAGAAATTTGTGTTATTCTTTGACTGTACTCAGTTTTACATAATCTAAAGCATGATTTGAGCAATACTTATCCTATTTTGCCCTCCTAAATTGCCTCAGTCTATTCAAACCCGATTTTCTACCTTCATATTAAATAGCTACCAGTCTTCCTGATTGTCTTCTAAATGAATGCATGTATTAAAAACAGGACCCTGAATTTCATCCAAACCTAATATTTTAGACAGTGTAGGAACACAATAGAATAATAGTGGTGTGTTGTATTATCCATTTTCTTCTCTACCAGTTTCTTTTCCACTTGTTTTCAGCGGAGAAGCATTTTTGGTCAGGAGCAAAACATGCCATGTAATCTTGATCATCTTTTCTGTGTGGTACTGAAGCTAAACTAAACTGTACTCTGTCTACTTTTATTTATTATGCTACTTTTGAGAGAGAAAAAAAAAAAAGCAAATTCATATGTGGGTTATCTATTCTTGGCTTTTTTTGGTTTTGTTTTGGCTTTTTTGTTTTCTCTTTGAAGCAAATGAGAAGGTTTTGTCTTCCCTTTTCTCCCTTGCCTTTTCCTGCAGCTTTACAGGTTCTTAGTGGTCTGCGAGAGGAGCATCCTTTATAAAAGTTAATGTACTAACTGATTATTTTGTATCTCTGAAAGTTTCCAAAAGTGTCATTAAAGGGGATTGGGCATGTTATCTGTAAAAATGAATAAATAATATTTTTAAAAATGGCTTCTCTGACACAAAATATTCATTTTTCCTCAGGTAAAACAGGAGAAACAATAGACACCAAGTTCTTTGACATGTGGGGTGGAGGTAGGTGTGGTTAACTTACCTGCTGGAGAGAACAACTAAAATACGGTATTTTATTTATTTATTGTGGTGGCTGAGGCTGTTAGTTATGGGAGTGCTGTACCTACACTTTGGATTGTGAGGAGAGTACAGCTACAATGCAACTGCTCTATGTGCAAGAGCACTAATACACTTGTTTTCCTGAGTAGTTACTGCCTTGTAGTTGTATCTGTCTGTGCTAAAGCAACACGCAAACTGTAATAATAAGGGAGGATTTTGATGTTCATAAATCAGCTTTATAGAAGAGCACATTACTGCATTATTTAATTTTGGTAGGTTTTCTCCCACTACACTAATTTGGTAATGTGAGTATTTTTTCATTCCAAGTGCCAGTAGCTTCAAATTTTTAACCATCACTTCATTCGAAACAAAAATAAGTGATCATTATATCCTTAGACAACATACATGAAATTCTACAAAATAAAAATGTTACTTCTCTGTTACTTCTCTTTTTCTCACTTAGGAACTCTTTATAATTTTGTAACTGTAAATACTATCAAAAAAGTCTCTAAATGGACATTGTGGGTGTCTGAATATGACATGGTTGCTCATTATTAAGCTATTCTTTGTTACCTCTTTTCAGATGTGGCACCGTTTATTGAATTCCTAAAGTCAATCCAGGATGGAACCATAGTGTTAATGGGAACATATGATGATGGTGCTACCAAGTACGTAATCAATTTATATAGTAAATATTGTTTAAACCTTTAAATGCCGTTTTATATCCTGAAAAACAGGGCCTCTAACAATCACTTTTGATAAAATTCTGTAAATGGTCTGCAGAACTGTTCCAAACTGAAGCTGTTTATCTTACTGATGTAGACATAAGCCTAAGAGTCGCTAGTTCTCAAAGTGCTGTCTTCCAACCTGCCCTTTGGTCATCCTTAGTAGATGACCAAGTAGAACTCAATAAATTTATTGCTGATTTTTTTTTAAGGATGTAAGCTGTTATACATATATAATCAGTAAAGCTCTAGAAATTTGTGGGAGGGGAGGGTGTAAATAACCTCCAAAGGACTAAACTAACATGATCATTTTTATTATCTTGGCTAGAGTGACTTGTACAATTGTATCTTATTAAGTAGTAACAGTTAGAAGTTGTGCATATTGTTTAGTAATTGAGTGAAAATAGTAGCTGGCAGATAGAAATAAAGAGCAAACATAGGGAGGTTTTGGAATGGAACTTGTCATTCTACAGAGTAACTTTTTCTTACATATTAAAATTGTCATATTTGGAATTAGAGGGACCAAACTGCTATGGGACAGCAGTTCTGACCTTTAGTTTAATTGACCTGGGTAAGCTAACCCTTTTTAGAGTATTTCATTCATTTTTATCCTGAAAGAACTTTTATTTTATCTAGACTTCAACTTATGTCTGCAAACAATATTTATTTTAAATGTTGATTTTATATATGTATAATTTCTAATATTACCTGGAGAATTGCCAAAATGATTCAAGAAATTCTTACGCGACATGATTTGTGCTTTCTGTTGATGTGCTGCTAGTTTGGGTGCTGGCTGATTGAGGTTATAGTACTAAAAGGGCAGAGCTCATTTAGATAAGTGATTTCAGAACTAGACTAACCTGATTTTGAAAGAATGATCTTTTCCAGTGTTGACTGGCTTAATCAGATCAAAGCTGACTGGTACATTGCACAAAGAAAGCTCTAATGATGTTTGTTTTATTCATGTATTTAACTGTATTTTGTTAAAAGGCTTAATGAGGAAGCACGGAAGCTGATTGCAGAATTGGGGAGCACATCCATTACTAACCTTGGCTTTAGAGACAACTGGGTCTTCTGTGGTGGAAAAGGAATTAAGACTAAAAGTCCATTTGAACAGGTCTGTGATGCTATAGTTTATTGGGTTTCAGTAGCTTACATTGTATTAAGATTATACGCTGTTTTTTAAATACCATGAGTTTGTTCAAAACCAGAATCCATTGCAGTAATTGCACACGTTTAGTGTTATCTTCAAAAGAATTTCTTGACTAGTCTCTTCCTTTTAAATACACACACACAAAAAATAGTGATTCCCAGATTAGAGAAATGTTAATGAGATACTCGATATGACTAAATTATTTATCTTTTAAATGAATGCAGGTTAACTAAATTCAAAAATGTCTGCCTGAAGTTCAGATTTTGGACACACTAATTCTCTCATTTTCAAAAAGCTGGAAATTCTGTATTTATTAATGTTCTTAGTCTGGCTATTCATTTCAGCACCTTGCTTTCCAAATTATGGCTTACTTTTTTTTTTTAGTATAAACTTGTCTGAAAAGCTGCATCAATTGGTGAATACCGAGGGATAGTTATATTTGATATTTACAAAACACAAGATATTAATTCTGGTATCTTCTTCTAACTTACTATTTTCAGGCAATGGATTAACAGGGTGTTTTTTAAAGCAGCTTGTACATAAAAAACAGGATAAATGACTTTGCATTAATTAAAGCTAAAATAGAAAAACTATTTTCTATTTATAGCATATAAAGAACAACAAGGACACAAACAAATATGAAGGCTGGCCAGAAGTTGTTGAGATGGAAGGCTGCATCCCACAGAAGCAAGACTAAAACAAAAGGAAAGAATGTGGAAGAAAATGCACTTTCTGCTACTAATTGGGAGAGGGCTATGAAGGAAACTGTACTGTAAATAATATTTTTAAAGCATGCAACCATCCTGTCGGTGTGTGCATGAGCACTGACATTTTGAATATTGGGATTATTTATTGCTAATACACATAGCAATCCTTTTTTGTAAATATGTCCAAAAAAAGAAAAAAAAAATCATTTCTAAGCAGGTTTCCTAAAAGCACAGCATTTAGTTTATCTAAAGTAAATAATATCTCTTAGATAACAGGCTAATAAATTCCATATACCAGTGATCAACATCTGTCAAGATCTATTTGTTTTACTGTTCTCTAACAGCGTAATGTTGCTGTGAGTATGTAACCTTTGTGGAATATGTAGATTTTAGTGATAAGTTAATAAAGAGCTTTAATTTTTTTTTTTATCCTCTGCCTCTTTAAATGGCAGCATCACTTTTTATTAAAGCTATTTGGTTATTCTAATATCAGGTGCTCCAGAAATTTATTTTGCAGTCCCCCACCAAAACCTAATCGGTGAAAGAAGACTACCTGATACAAAAAGACAGATATACACCGATGAGAAGCACAATATAGATTATTTTTCTTAAGAAAAGAATGGAAGTAAATATATGAATAGTGTACATGATATTTAAAAGCAAGTTAGGAGGATTTGTATTTAACTTGGAAATAATATTTACTTTCTAGAAGAGACCTGGCATGTTAAGCAGCAGCACAGGCTGTCTCATACAACTTTTTGCACTGCTGTCTAACCATCAAATCTACCTGCTGCTGGTCAGCAATTCTGGCTGCTCCTACAATAAATGTGCATCATGGAAAGCTTTCCTGTTTTAATTCTAGCAGCAGTTGAAGTGGCCTTATTTAGCTTTATCTGAGCTATTGGAAAACAATCCTTTCTGCAGAAAATTGTTTGTTTTAGTAGGGCCAACTTGAGGTTTTGCAGAAACTAAATTAGTGTGCTATAACTGACAGTGTTGGTATTCACTGAGTAAGAACTGACACTATTGGGTGTAATTTGTTGGAGCTTTGTTTACGTAGTGACTTTTGGTAAAATGTCCAAAAACTTTTACCAAGTAGCAGAGGATGAAGGAAACGAAGGATTTTTCAGGAGTCGAAGTGTGACTTGAAAACAGTGCCACTCAAATATTGTTATCATCAATGTCTTCTGAGACAAATTGAATTGTTTACACTAAAAATTTCAAGCAATATTGGGAATAATTTTGTCACATAGTTCAAATAAATAACCTGTGATACCACTCTGGTGAGACTGGATTTTGCGTTCTGTGTGATTAACTATCTTGTTAAATAACATCATTTTCTCTGAAGTTTAATATAGAGAAATGATAAAGGCACCTTATACAGTGAAACCGTATTTTTTTGTTTAGGCAGTGTCAAAACCAGGGAGATATTTTTCATCAAATAAGTTGCCCCTTTTTGTTAATTGGAAAGTATCTTTTATTTCGTAATACTAGGTTATTCTGGAATATTAACTGTATAAGCTGTGGAATTTTAACAAAGTTGTATTTTTATGTTGGAGAATATTCCAGTATTGGTTGTCCAAAATAGTATTAAAAAAAATTAAGTACTTGGCAGAGGCCTAAGAGATGACCCATTTGTCTGAATTAATGGTTTCCCTGAATGCTTGTCTTCATTCTTTTGGTTTGGAATGCCAATAAGTACATGTTTCATCTTTGAAATTACAAAGTTCAGCTGTCTTCTCCAAAATAACTCGAAATAACAAAATGCAAACCTCTTAGCCCTAATGAATGACCTTTAATTTGTACTCTCAGTTTTTTTTTTTTTTTGGCAATCTGAATAAAATTTATACATTCTGACTCTTTAACCCCTTATTTGCACCTGTGGCAACCCTTTTTGCAACTGATTTTAAAGCAGTTAAATGATAGTTGTATTTTGTAATTACTCTTAAATCACTTGATCCTTGTAATTTTTTAAAAAATTTTCTCCCTCTTCCCTCATTCAGTCACCCACTCCTGTGCAGCTGCATCATCTCATTGTTTAATTATACTTGTTAAATATATAAGACCAATTCATTCCGAGTTGGCCATGCAAATGGGGACTTGTTGCTCTTTGCTTGTGTGCTTCATCCAGGTCTGCTGCCTTGCCACAAGCTCTTCTAGTCACACCATCTCATCTCTTTCCTAAGTCTGCTATTTACAGCATCTCCATGTTGAGATGAATTGCCTGGTAGATATTGCTAAGAAGCAAGACTTTTTAATTCTGGTAATCTCTGCATGTTTCATTTAAGGTACAAAACCCGGAGATTGCTTGCTGCTCCCTCACTGGTATTTCCCACAGCTGGTGGTACGGAGTTACCAGCAGTGACAGAGAGGATGATTTTCCCAGGCAGCTTTATGTGAAAGTACCTGTGTGCGATAAAGATCCAGGTTGTGTATTCCCCTGCCCAAGGTAATGGGAGCACTTACTGCATATGCTAGTAAATCATGGAGTTGCTGAGGATAGAGAACTCGAGGAAGAAAAGAGGTGGATGATGTCCTGCTTAAAAAGCATAGCTGCGAGAAGGGGGAGAGTGGATGCAACTTGATCCATCCAAATAAATCTTCATTGTAAAGCACAGCCCTCAGTCACTGTGTTAGGGTTGTTTTATGGAGATGGGATTCCTAATGAAAGAAGCTGAAGGGGTTTCTGCATCTTTCCTAGCATCTCTCCTGATTAAACTAATTTTCTTCAAAGATTGGAGGCTTTGACAACGTTAGTTTCCTGAGTGCTAATTCAGGGAGAAGAAAAAAAAAAATAGCTGCCCTTTTCTTGGTGTGCTTCGATGCCTGGCCTTGTTGTGACGCTTAGTTCCCTCAAGCAGCGCTGTGACTAGTAAGTCCTCGATGTGTATGTAATGTCTGTTAAACTGTGAGGACTGCCTGCAGCACTGAGTTTGCAAGAATGAGTATACTGAGTAAAACGAAAGGCCAGTACCAGATGAGGAAATGCAGAATGGGAAATAACACAGCAATGCTCCCAACATACAGGCTCATTGCCTTTCCTGAGCAGAGTAATGTGCCTGTGAGCACAGGCTGGAAACGGCTGGGGAACATTCCCAGCTGCCCGAGTATCATGACAAAGTGCAATGTTAAATCCCAGACCTACAGGGCTTGCCCTAGTGGAAATTTCTGTGATTACAGTTGCTCAAAATGACAGTCTCTTAATAAAATAGATGGCTAGTACTAGCCCTTGACTTAGCCTGATGTTAAGAAATGCTGGCTTTGGGTCACACCTGCTTTGGGCCGGGGAAACTGATTGCTGTGAACACCTAGCAAAAACCTTTTATTAAAGAAGTCCCATCTTCTGTGAAGCTTCTATTTCTATAAAGCCAACTTGAGGCCAAACTAGGCCCAAGGGACCTACCTAGGAAAATTGAAAAGGAAACTTGGAAGGCCGAAGGGAACTTTGAGGCTAAAGCGGGAAGGTGTTAGAACAACTCCTGGGCTGTTATGTGATACTGCAAGGTGACAGTAGCTTTTAGTGCTGAGACCTCTGCTCCTTGGTGTCCAAGAAGGGAACTCAGTCCCCTTCCTGACCAACAAACACAGACTGGCAGCAGAGAAGGTGCTCCAAGTGATGGGTTTCAGTGCATTTCTGATATCACTGCCCTCAGAACCAGGCTAGGTTTAAACCATTTTTATTTCTTGCTCTCTGCTTCTGTTCTTTTCACCCTTACAAACATGATCTAATACATTCTTCATTGAAGCAGCTTAAAAATATATATATATAGTGTGTATAAAGATGTGTCGTTTTCCCAACCTGTTCTTATGCTTTATGAACAGGTTTTCTGGATGTCTATTCCTGTTCTCAACCATCCTTCTTGATAGATTTTATAATATAACATCCAGTTTTTCAGTGCTGAAAATGGAGTGCTACTTCTCTTGTCTTCAATTCACATTAATAATTGATTGTTTTCCTTATCTTAGCCCTATCTTTTTCATTCTAGAACATGTAGCCCTTTAACTTTGCTTTTATCCTTTTTATATCTCTCATTTTTGCAATCAGCTATATCCCCTCAAAGATGTCTGTTTCCTTCTTAGGGTGTTGGCAGAGCAGGATACAGCTGTAGTATCACTGATACAAGAAAAGACGTTCCTAGCTGAGCCGGGATCATGTCTCTGAATTTGATGGATGGCGATGGGAGTGCTGTCTTCCTTGGAATGTAACGTGCAGATTCTTTTTCCTATCATAATGCTGCAGCAGTTCCCTCTGGCTAATTATCTTCCTCAACCTTGGATGTTTCAGCACTGCCTTTATCAGTACAGTGTTATGATCCCAAGGCTAGGCAGCTGAATTATTTCTCCAAACTGGAAAACTTAGTGAATAGTCTCTTAATTTATATCTTTTATATCTAACCCTTCATAGGTACCTCTAAAGCACTTAACACACACGGCACAATGAAGAAAACTATAAGGTACTGTACTGTATTAATAAATGAAATAAATACAGTCTACCTATTAACCTTTATGCATGTAGGTGGAGGGATCAGTGTAGAGCACTGTAGTAGTCCAACAGCCATGCTGTGTGCAATATAAACTGCAGAGAAATCATCCTCTACAATAAATTTCTGATCCCTAGCCCTATCGCAAAGCAGCTGTTTTAATTCTATTTCTCTTGCAGACTTTGCACTACAGTTCAAAAGATTTGCAGTTAACCCTGCTAATACTTTGAGATATTTCAGCTGGTCAAAATTATTATGCTTAAAAAAAAAAAAAAAAGGTGGCAATGTTCTGACTTTGTCAGTTGTGCCAGTGTGAGGAGTTACTCTTCCTGGTCAAGACACTGGATTCTTATTGCTGTGTCCTTACTCTAATTTTCTTCTGCAAACTGGGCTGTGTTGAGTGTTTCTGGAATGTTACTGTGAACCAAATCACTAAACTGATCCACAGGCTGAGGTTGGGGCAGGGGATAGGGATGGTGATAGTCCTCGCAGTCCAAATTGCAGGCAAATTCAACCTACTATGAAACTATGGCCTACAGCTTCAAAAATATAAAATTAATGATTCAGGTCTTTAAGTTTCACATAACTTCTACATTTGCTCCCACTGGCAAAATCAACAATGATTATCAAGATTTTTTAAAAAAAAGATCCTAGTGCTGAGAGAACTCATCCCTAATAATATCCTGTGTCCCTCTATGTGTAGATTCTGTTACAGAGCTCTTAGAAGATCCATATATCATTTTGTTTAACACCAAAACCTTGCTTAGAATCTACTGAGATGCAATAGGGCGTCATATTAGTTTCTCAGACTACAGGGCAGATTAGACTATGCAAAAGAATGAGACATTTAGTTGTCAACCATTTTCGGGGGACTGAGAGGAGCACAATGATTATCTTGTTGTAGAAAATGCTGTGTTCTTTTTGAACTCACAGGACAGTGTCAAGCTTTTCTAGAGAAAAGAGAAATAGTCATGAAGTGTTTCATTCTGTCCAAAACACAAATTTTCAGAGCCGTGGGGAAAATGATTATAGAAGTCTTGTTCAGTCAGAAGTTTCAGATTTTTAATAAGATATTTTGATGCATACATAACTCAGTATTTAAATAAAATCAAAAATGGACAATACATTGATGATTTCACAGGGAAATTGTGCAGCTGTTTTAAAGTTAGACTGTATAGTCATAAACATAGCAAAGCTGAAGTGAAAATGAAATGACTAAACTCTGAAAAAGATCCTGACCAACTGGTCTATGATGAAGTCGTATTTGTGCTTGCAGGCTCAAATTCAGTAGAAGGTTTCAAAAACTATGTGAAACTACCTTGTAATAAATCACTGGATCTCTCTGGTTCAATTAGTGCAACTAAATTACGTGTATGTCCATTTGTCTTAACTCTTCTAAAAGCTTCTTTGATTACATCTTTTTGTTGAGTAAAGTGGCAGCCACCCTCCATCAGAAGTATGTGCAATCACTCCTGACATCTAGGTTCTAGTCTTGGCCAGAAGTGGTCTCCAGTTACTATTATGTGGTACCTGTGAAATGAGTTTCTGTGCCACGTTCCTACCGCTCACGGCACTTCCAACCATGCAGAGCTGGAACAGCAGCCAGAGAATCATAGAATCATAGAATCGTTAAGGTTGGAAGGGACCTCTAGAGATCATCTGGTCCAACCACCCCTGCACACGCAGGGTCACCTAGAGCACCTGGCACAGGACTGTGTCCAAGTGGGTTTGGAAGATCTCCAGAGAAGGAGACTCCACAACCTCTCTGGGCAGCTCTGTCACCCTCACTGTTAAAATTTTTTTCCTTAAGTTCCTGTGGAACTTTTGGTGCTTTGGTTTGTGGCCGTTTCCTCTAGTCCTATCGCTGACAGCCACTGGAAAGAGGCCGGCCCCATCCTCCTTGCTCCCTCCCTAAAGGTACTTATATACTGGACACAATACTCCAGATGTGGCCTCACCAGGGCTGAGTAGAGCGGCAGGATCGTCTCCTGCTGGAGACACTCTTCTTAAGGCACCCCAGGATCCCATTGGCCTTCTTGGCCATGAGGTCACACTGCTGCCTCATGGTCAACTTGTCATCCCCCATGACACCCAGGTCCCTCCCTGCAGAGCTGCTCTCCAGAAGGTCAGTCCCCAGCCTGTACTGGTGTCTGGGGTTATTCCTCCCCAGGTGCAGGACCTTGCACTTGGCCTTGTTGAACTCCATGAGGTTTCTCACTGCCTAGTTGTGCTGTCTGTCCAGGTCCTTGTGAGGGTTGATTCTCACTTCATTCTGCACTAAACAATCCATTATTTAACAGAACTATCAGTGGAAGAAATCACACAGTTGTCAAGTCAGCGTACCAGCAGACTCTGGGATGGTCATATATATTTTAGCATAAATTATCTATAGCATTCATTTAACTTCGAATTAACAAGCACTATTCCCTTCAGGATGACTTTGTCATTTGTATGGGGGGAAAAAAGAAAATGTGTTTTACTTCCAGAAATACAGACCACAGGAGTCCATATATAAGAAATGCAATTTTAACCAAGTGATTATTTTAGTCTTTGCCTGACCTTTAAAGGCAGTACTGGGGTCTACAGCAGGGCTGGTCCAGGAGTGCCTGCTAGGATGGTTACTGTGTTCTCACAGCTGATGAACCATTGCTCAGGCTTTCACAGTGAGGGTAGTGATTCCTCCTCCTGGGATGATTATCCACCCTTCCCGATGATGGTGCTTGCTGCGGCCCAGCAATATTCATAGTGTTGGTTAAAGGAGACAGACTGGCCAAATGTGGAGGAATGGTCCAAAAAATGGTACAGAAGCTAAACATAAAATGGTACAAAATCTAAACATACAATGAAGATTGACAAGGGCTTACCATCTCTCATGGAGAAATTACTGAAAACTAGGAAATGAATTCCTCAAAATAACTTTGAAAGCATTAACCAAAATGTCCAGGCAGGTTTATTTCTAAAAACTGATTTCCAGTGTGGAGCGTGTTTATTGATACAACCCTAGTCCCCTTGGTGTCAATGGGAATTCCGCATGGACCACTGGAGCCTGAACTTCACTGGGTGTAAAACAGATTTAGAAAAATAGAAAAAAAAATGCAGAATATTAATTAACTGATTATTCAGAAAATCAATATAAGTGTTTCTCATCACTGTGTCACAGTAAGTGTATTTAATTACAATAATAACTTTTGGTAAGAAAAAAAAAATATGTAAATTGACTGAATAATTTCCCCCCTGCACATGCAATAAAATTCAACCAAATGCTACTACAATAGTAACACAGCTCTAACAGTAAATGTCAAAGGCTGTAATCTTATCACATTAGTTCTGGGAACCTTTTACATAACTCACATAATTTAAATATTTACAAAATATAAACTTTTTTGTCTTATCAAAAATACGTCTTTGAACAGTTAAACAACACAAATTCTTTAACATGATGCTTTTTAAGCCAGGCTTTACATCATTGCATAAAAATAAACAACCTTTCATGAATGTAAAATAAAATTGAGCCAACATATGGGGAGAGAGAAAATATTATCAATACTAGTTTAAATATTTTAGTGGTGTGAGCCAATCCGTAAATTGCACTGTGCACTGAACTTATTTTATAGACATGATTAGCTGGGATGCAATCTCATGAATGTTGTAGCTACTGCTCCTATATGAAAAAGAAAGCAAGTAATGTTTTAAAAAATCTTTCACTTAATAACAGTTTTTGGGGGGATAAATCTTGGCATGGCATATGAAGGAAACTATGAAAAAGACAGTGAACAAGATGGTTGAACATGGCAGTTTATTACACACAGTTCCACTGTGGGGGGGAATGTCTTTGAAAGACCTTCTACAAAAAATCCTAAAAAGTTTGCTATTTCATACAGCATTCATATTCACTCCGCTGTACTGTAGGTGCCCTCTTTTCTGGGCAACACTTGCTCTATCCAAGCAATGGGTCATCACTTCCACCCGGGCCAGAACTTAACTATGTTCACACACAGTTCTGAGTAGGAGACTTTACATTATGCAGAGGGCTTTCTGTACAAGAAGCAGATGCTGAGCAAATGCTTCATGGTTAATGGCACACCACGTCCTGTATTTTTTTTTAAACCCGCAAAAATGAACCATCTAGGATCCATCTAGTCCCACTCCTAAAAATATGTAAGTAAATATTATATGTCTTGTATACTCTGTTCATTCTTCAGTCTCTGGCTAACAAGATCTCCTTGAGTTTTCTCCACCATACATACCAGTCACCTTGATCTTCACCATGTAGTGATTGTAAAAAACTTGGAAAGTTTAGATATGTCCCTAGTCACGGAATTACTTATTGAATGTGCCCCTGGGAGTCTTTACTTGTCCTCTTAGCTACCTGCATATGCAGGCTGCTAATCACTTAATTGCTCTTCCACAGGCTAAAATGCTTGGAAATCACTTGATTGCTCTTCCACAGGCCAAAATGCTTGGACTGCACCCATTCCTCTGCAGCTGGTCTCTCACACTCCCACCTGGCACATGTGAGCGCCGCGTTCACAGCAGGTATCTGCACAGTGCGGTGCAGGACGATGCGGCTGCACTCCTCCTCCCCAGCCTCATTTGCAGGTGTGGACATCGGTCATGGTCTCGCAGCGTCGGCAGCGCACGTAGCAGCACCAGACGAACTTGCATTCGCACCTCTCCACGTGCCGCACAACGTGCGTGTTGTACCCGCGCCCGCAGCAGAGGAGGTTGCAGCCATCGGGTCCCTCTGATGTGCGGTTACATTCCCTTCCCTGTGTTCCAGGGATCCCCAGCTTATGGTCTTCTACACAATAATTGGGTGATTTGTTTAGATACAGCAGATCTTCTTTCTGGATCGGTATTTTCCTCTGGCTTTTCTCTTTCCTGCGTAGCTTTTTTTTCACTCTCTCTGATATCTGTATGCTGTTTTCATACTTGTCCTTTAAAAAACGGCCAATCTTTTCAAAGGACGACATTGTTTTCCAACAAGTTTTCACAGCACAGGACCCAGAAACGCCATGGCATCGGCAGTCCACTGACATCAGCTTTGCTACAGCCTGCAAACAAAGTGAGAGCAACGTTTGGATGCAGCCTTTCCTTCAGGGAGCATCCTGCCTGACATCTCCAAGCTCTTAATGCTGCTGCCACCATTGCCCTGGCGCTGATGGGGAAGCCAAACCGCAGGTGGGCAATGGACCAGGCTGTCAATTCTGGAGCTTGGTGTGAGAAGCCTGATCTTTAGAAGTGCAAAGCACCTGCACTTTACAATGGCCTAACTTGGCAATATCCAGGCATAATAATGGGATCTTATATTTCTGGCTGGCTTTTCTTTCCAAAGGCTCCTAAATACCTGAAATGACACATCCTGTGTCACTCCACCCATGGATGGTATGCAAAAGCTCCCTGTGGGGAATAGCAGGAGGGGCATCAGGGAAAGGATGGGTAACAGGGCACAGTTTTTAAGCCGGCAGAGATTTATGGGCATGTCTATACTCCTGCGTGAGGATGCCTTAGAGCAAGCGGTGCCCACAGCTCTGGGCTGCAAGGAAATGCCACTGAGGGAGCTCAACAGAGGTGGCTTCAATTCACATTTTCTGATAGTTGATTTGGCATCACTTTTAATAAGTTAGCAAAATTACCACACACATAACTGTTAGCAACATTAAAATGTCCTTAGATGGACTACATTTCAATGCCATTGCAGATTCAGGCATGGGATTACCTGACCAACAAAGGGAATCCACAGTCTGCAGCCTGCATTGAGCTTTCACAGTATGAAAGAATTTTGGCACAGTTTATATCAGAGCAAGCCTCAAAGAACTGGAATTTGTAAACAGGCAGTAACTTTCTTTTTCTGGGGTTGCAATTCAAATAATCAGCAGACAACCAATGTAATATTTCTTTCTTGAAAGGCCATAGCATAAACTTGCAGTGTTAGACTTGCAGCACATCTCACATTACACTCTGGAAAAGTCTACACACACACACACAAAAAAAAGATCACATGCACAAATATAGCAAAAAGAGAAGGCATCGTGAAATCTTTTTTTAAAAACTTTTCCATCAACTGTACCACACCTTTGTAGCCCTCCTGTAGATTCATATAGGCCGTTATTTAATGGTTTGGAAAGTCATTTTAGCTAACTTTTCCACTATATCTTGTTTCCGCAGTAAAGTCAGTCATTAACTTATATGTGAACGTGATTATTCTAAAAGATCATTTTGGAGAGAATACAACAGAAAGGCTGGATTTTGAAAGAACTAATATAAAGAGCAAGTTTCTCTGGAAGCTTGTCAAGCAGCAAGTTCCAATACAAGTGTGAGGAGACCAAGACAACAGAACTTCACACTGTTTATTAAAATTCATTCTAAATGTTCACATCCTCCACAACCTCCATAAATATTTAAGTGTCAATCTACATCTTCCTCAAACTGCCATTTATAAAAGGCAAAGAAAAAAAACATAAACCAAAGGCACTGACATGGTCCCCCATTTTTCCTAGGGAACCTCCCATTTTTCCTAGGGAAAGCAGTTTCATCTGTGCCCGTCCTGAGTCTGCAGCAAGAACAACACAGAGCCTATGGAGCCACTGCTGTCATCCATGACCAAGAATAAATTCAAATGTCCCAGGCTGCTTATTTGTATCTCAGACTGCCATCCTCAAAGTTTCACAGCTAATCAAATTCAGACCAGATAAAATGAGTTGTTTCTATCCTATGCTTTATAGTGGGGTTTTTCATCAGTTTGGGACCCAATCCAAAATGGTTAAACCCATGGATTTCAGTGGGAGTTGAGGCCTCCTGGCACATTCTGCCCAGAAGATATTGACACAAGCCCAAGCTGGTTATCTGCATATAACTTGACAAACATTAGTAAAAATACACATGACCAAAATGTTTGCTTGGAGTCACATCTTCTTTGGTGAACGAATAGGACTTATTTGTTGGAAGGAGGAGGTTCATGGAGGTTACCACGAAGGACAAACAAGCAAGGCATTTAAAGAACCATCAGCAAGAAATATCAGGTGTATGCCCTAACCTAGTAAAACCATTAGCCTTTACAAGCTAAATATTGAGAAACAAAGCAAAAGACATTTCAGGTCCTGTGACTTGAATTTGGGACTTGAGGTTTTTCCTTATCCTGGAAGAAATAAGAATACTGGAACAAGCAGACCCTCTCCTCAGAGTATACAGACTTTTTTAGTGGCAAATCAACCATCAGTGATTCTTGCAGCTACTTGTCTTCTGTCCTTCTACTTAATAGACAAGTATGACCTTATGCTCAGATCTTCAGAATCTATGAATAAGGAAATCACTGTGGATCCAGAATATGCATCATTAAGACATAACGTTGATTGAGGCTGATGAGACCAAGGGTAGAAAATCGTTGTGAGAATATAGACAAGCTAATAAAATGACAAGGGAAATGGAAGAATAACACAGGAATGTAAATATTATAAATAATTTACAAACAGAACGGACTTAATGTTTTTCAGTTTCCACTCTCATTTATTTGTGTATGGTAACAAGAATCCCAAAGTAGTTTGAAACTACTTGTGTTATAAGACATACAGATGTAACATGCTTTCACTGCAGTATGTCAAGATACTCATTAGAAAAGTGACGACAGGGGAAAAATATATTTTTTTTCTGGAAAAATAATTTACTCTCAAGTCAGCATCAGGCACTGTAAAATCTGGATGGAGAAAATAATACAGAATATATCTGGATGGGTCTGTTAGCATTGGATGTGTCTGTCAGGTCTTAAGAGTGAGTTATTTTGATGTGGACAAGTAGCCTAGCAGATGATGCTCAAGAGTCTTTCTCTGAGGATGAAATCAATGAAAACCAAAAGCAGGCCAAGTTTCTAAGCAAGAGCAAGAACTTACATTGGAGTCCTAGTTTACATCAAAATACAAAAATGTAGTATATGTAACCAGTAAACATGTTAATGTAAGAGCAGAACAATGCAAGCACTGTTAATGTGGCTGAGTGTGGCTGAGATTGTCCTCAGCAGTTACAAGGATTTGTGTTCTTATTCTGTGTTGCTCAAGATTCTTTTATGAGGTTTTGATATAATCTGTTTTAAAATGATTTATGGTGTCATCACAACTGTGCATGACCCCAGGCTATTGCTTCACAGATGCTAGGATTAACACAGCAAGTTTCGAGCTAGGACTCCAACTCATTTTGGCCTGTCTCTACCAATGGCACTAGAAGCTGACATCTTGATTTGGTCGATCACAAAACATGGCCTGAAGCTCAAGCTGTCATATGAGTTTTCATGAACAAGCCCCCGAAGCAGAACATCTGGCAAAGCTTAGAGTGTTGGATCAGTTTCACAGGAGCATCTGACTGCAACCTGGGGATGTCCAAGTATAGAAGTAAAACAGCTTTAGAAAGATCTTTCTCTTCAGCCTGCCCTGTCATGGATTTAGCTGTTCTGCTCGGAATATTGGCTACTGAGCCTCTCAGCCCTACTGTCTGCCATCCTCACCCTTTTATACAAGAAACCAGATATGCACATCTAACTGCACTCAGCATTACAAAACTAAAGCCTTGTTACCATCATCCTTTACCAAGGATGATGAAGGTTTACCCCAGGTAGAATGAAGAATGAAATCTGGAGGAATCCTGAGGTTCCAGCTAGTGTCCTAAACTGTGGACAACTCAAAGAATCCTTATTGTTTTAAAAACAATATATCTTGGATTTTACAGAATCACATCTGAACCTACTGCCCTGCTCAAGCAGGGTCACCTAAAGCAAGTTGTCCAGGCTCATGTCCACTTGGATATTGAGATCCTTCAAGAATGGAGACTCCACAACCTTTCTGCGCAACCCATTCCAGTGCTGTGTCACCCTTCCAGTAAATAAGCATTTTCTTGTGTTTAAGTAAGTAAGTGGAAGATTTATCTATGAAAGGTAGAAATATAAAATAGGGTTTTGTATGGAAATAGGGAAGGAACAAGAGAATTCTCTACATGCCAATACCCCAGCCAATTAGCTACTCCAAACAAAAAGGAGTATTATCCCTAGAAGACAGTTATCGCAAGCCAGAACCAGGAACATGATAGCATTTATTAGAAAAAGGTCACAGAATACCAAAATATATTGCCAAATGCCCTTCTCATAGACTCCAAAATATGAAGGTTAACTACTCCCAACATATTCTAATATGATTTTTTAAATTGTAAAAGTCAAAAAACTTTCCTAAACTTTACTTCAGCTAATACTGTTGTTCTAAATCCCAGCTACCAACAATAAACATTCCCCTCCACTTTTGACAGTGGTTAAAATGTTTACTTTATCTTACAACTTGCAATTAAGTTACAAAATATTTATGCATGGAGCCATACTAAATATTCTGCATATTTTCTTCCAAGATAATGAACAACCAACACACCATTGCTGCAAAACTGGTGTAGCTATAAATCTTTCAGTCTTTCATGTTTGCAGCGCCTCTATAGTGTTGTGAAAAAAGGAACAAGCATATATACCATGTAGGTACCAAATGAGCCTGTGACAGTGCATTTTCAGAGTTTGTTGCGTAGCTTAATATCATGAAAAATCTGAGCCCTGAAAGATCATCAGTACCTTAAGGTTCCTGTTGGGCTATATCCTATTACATTCGCAATGATTGACAGACTAACCTAAAGCATCAAGTTTGTGAAGCTATTTTTAGTAAGAGGTACCAATCAATGTGAATAGTAATGGAAGATGCTACAGCTACATCAAAAAAGGATGTGGATGCCAAACCCAGAACTTATATTTTCATACATGTAATTTGGATCTAAGATAATTTAGATCCTGCCAAAATTGCTATTCACGGAAAATGAAGCCTCATTTAACTACGTCCTTCAACCACTTGCACCTTTAGCTCACTGTTTGAAAATACATAAATCTGCTATCTTTCGCGGCAGTACCAGATCAATGTACACTTCCCTTGGGCTAGTCATTCCTGTCCCCTATGCCATAGGAGGCCCAGCTCACTGACCACTGTTGATGAGATGAGGGAACTCACCCAGCTTTAGAGAAATCAACACAGAAATAAGTTTCTCTTCTGCAGGAGGTGTCCATTGTTTTTCTGGGGGGTCTTCTGTTACTTTTTGTTTTGCTTTGTTTTGTTTTGTTTTGTTTTAAAGCTGATAAGGTACACAGTGCAAGGCCCCAGGCCTGGCACATCTGGCACATCTGCAGGCGACAACTTTAGCACAGTACGTGCAGGAATGAATGATGAGCATGAGGATGGTGCAGAAGACCAAAAGTGAACACTGCAACTGGAGACAAGAGGCTAGCAAATTACAGTTTCTGCTAAGCTACACCAAACTAGAGGCAGAAGACCGAAGAAAGTATCAAGGAGGTCTGTGTAAATAAAACACAATAAGTCTACTTGCAAATTGTGAAAACAGAGCCCTGTTAAAATATGTACTTTGGTGCTTCTTATGATAATGTTTTACCAGCACGGCTATCCTACACCTACTGGAAAGTTCTTTTCAGTAAAATCCACTGATGCTGCTCCAGGCTACAGGAAATTATAGTTAAAATGGGGTCCAGGATGCATGATCCAAAATGAGGCCAAAACTAGAGAGTCCACCTCTCTTCACTTATAGCTCTGTCACAGAGCAAATTTAAGAAATTACTGTGCCACAGAGAGACAATAAACACTTATGAGGTTAAAAACTCATGAAGTAAAGCAGAGAAACTATTTTTAAAGCAAGAAACAGAAGCAAAGTCTCTGGCATTCCAAATATAGCCCTGGTCATTATATTACAGAGTCACAGTCCCCTGTACTGGCTGTTCTTGTCCCCACTACCTGGTCCTGTCCCCATTATCTGCAGAAGATGGCACATGGACACCCACATTCACTCCTGCACACTCCCCCATCCCTCCCCTGCTCATGAGAGCATTTCCCATGCAACAGTAGGTTTGAACTGTCTTCGATTGAAGGAGCCCTCTCTGGAGCAAGTCTCCCCTCTTTTCTTTGTTCAGCACTCCAGCTAGCAGGCAACTTTAAAATGGAAATGGCATTTCTATCCCATATTTCAAAACAAAAGGGTAAATCTAAACTTGTTCAATTAATGTTTCTGTCTTCTACTCTCAGGAAATGATTGCAGATGATTCCAGCTGGGTAATGGTGCATGATGTCAATTCTGTTTGCTCAGAATTAGAATTTATAATGCCGCTGATGATAACAACAGAACATAGCAGATAATAAGACATAAAAATCCTCATACATTATTGCGAGGAAAAAAATAGTTAAAGTAGATGTTACTTAAAAAATGTATATTTGAGATTATTTTGAATAGTACTCCAGATCAGATTATTACTTGGTGGATTCTATTTTAAACCATGAAGCATGTTAGTCAAAAATAGCTTTGATTTCAGCTTTGTACATGTTTGCTTTGGATGTCTTACTACAGTTCTTGCTATTGGCTCCATTAGTACCTGCACCCAGGCTCAGGCTTCATTTGATTAATGTCCTTCTGGCAATGAAGCCTGACAAGCAATTGCTCCCATTTTTGAATGGTCAATACGTACCTGCCTCCCAGCCTCGTTATTGTGCAGGTTCATCGCTGCCAGTCCGCTCCCGCCCTTGCCCGTGATGTTCTTGAGAGGCACGTCCAGGAACTTTCTGCTGAACGACATCCCGTAGTGGATGTCATCCGAGCAGCCGCCCCAGTGCCAGCCCTCGCTGGCGGAGCCGCCGCTCTGCACGCTGGCGGTGCCGTTCCCCGCGCTGCACGCGCGCGTCACGGCGTGCACGAGGCCCGCCGCCGTCACCGCGTGTATGAACGCGCTCTCCTTCGTGCCTGCAACAAGACGCGCCGACACGTTACTGCAGGGCCGCCTCTGACCACCTTCCATGGTTGAGCTGGAGAGGCCAATTTTATCAGCCACACTACTATGAAAAGGGAACAGTTACGAGTCGAAAGCCACCCTGGCTTGATCCACACGGTTAAATCATTTAAAACCAATGGTTATTCATATCCAAACAAGACTTCAGGGCCTACTCATACAACCGTGCTATTACCTGGGCTGTTTCTGGCTGCTTTATATAATTTATGGTAACTTTCTAAATCCAGTTTGGAATTTTATTTTATTTCCCACAGAAACTTTCAAGCAAATTAAGTTTTAATTAAAAATAAAACACCCAAAAGCCTTACTCTCCACACTGCTTTTCACTATTCATATTAATTGAATAAGAAGAAGTTAGTTCAGATCTTAGAGGAGGAACTCAAGGCTGTCATGATCTTGTTACTTTGGTACAGGTCCAAACTTACCTCATGCTATATTTAGCAAACATTGAGGTTATTCTAATTCACAAAGGTTGCGAACAGCCACAAGAATCTTAAACCAGACAGAAATTGGGATGGCACAAGAATATTAAGCCATTTGCATTTCCTAGCATAGCTGTCCATAGGAATGGACATTATACCACAGAAGAATCATGGAGTTAACTTTCTGGCCAAATTCTGTTAGACCTGTGGCATACAGTGGCATAAATCTTTACACTGTGTTAAGCATAGCATGCCCTCTAAGCAAACCTAAAATCAACACCTGGCCAATTAACTGCAGCTAAAATCTCACTACACTAATTTACACTGTTGTCAAAACAAGTTGTTATTTCCAGTCTCTAAAATTCATGCTCATAAGTTCCCGCTCATTTCCTCCTTCACATTAGACTGTTGTGCAGGTACCATTAATAAAATATCTACACAGAGTATAAGAATGAAGCTCCTTGTACAAGCAGTGTCACTTATAGATCTGTAGGAACAACCCATCCCATTGGTAAGAGTAGCACACGGTACACACGGCTATATATAGCGGGGGGCAACTCGTTATGGGCTGGGTTTTTGTTTTGTTTTGTTTCTTTTGGAACGTATGTCATATTTTATTCCTTTTTTTCTACTTTGTTTTTTTTCTCCTTTTCAATTAACATTTATTTCTTCACAGCTGTACTGCAGCATATGGTCAGGATTGCACAAACACAAATTAGGGTCCTGTAACACTTAATGGAGTTCACATCAATAATTACACTGAATTTAATGAACACATTTAATGAGCACTCTAGAAACTTGCAGGACCAAGGACTTCCCACTTCCCTTTGAAAATGCCTTTTAATGCAAACAAAATGCTCAAGGTATTTTCAAGGTAAATTCAAGGTATATTTCAACTATTGCACTATTCGTTCATGTAGTAAAAGCTTTGAACTTGCTGAGCTGAGCAACACTATCCAAGCGAGTGCATGTGATGCATTTTAAAGTGATTCACAGAGCACTCAGTGCTGTGAGCAGATTTTTACCTGTGACCCAGCACCCCTTTGGAAACTGCATGTCACTGCCCCACTGACTTAGTAATTACGACATAAGTAGCATGATGAAGAATAAGGAGTCTAAGAATAACAACATTTCAACACAGTTAAGTGGATCTAGTCACCAGCACTGTCATCCAAGTCTGGCTAAGTCAAAAATTAAAGTAACTAGCGATCATTTTGTAGAGACACTGGCAGGTTCTGTCTGCTCCGCGATCCCGTGCGCCTGCCCGGCTGGGGCAGCTCCAGTCGCCGCCCGTCACGACGGCTGCTCTTTGCCAGGGGCGACGGGGACGGGGCGGCCGGCACCGTCCGGTGCCCATCGCGCTGCTCTGGCGCCGCGGGGCCGCGTGGCCCCGACGGGGAGGCCGCGCCGGGGGCCGCTCGCGCACTCACCGCTGCTGAGCTGGTGGCCGAAGGCGGCGTCGGGGGCGCCGGGGCGACGTCGGGCGGGCGCCGGGCGGCAGTCCCAGCGCTCGTGGCGGGACTGGCT